CCGTTGGATGGAACAATCCTTCAGGAACGCTAGGGAAATCAGAGATTTGGTTTGGGCCATCTTGGCCGTCTTGGAGGTCATCTTGAGGCCATCTGGAGAGTCTTGGGGAGATTTGCTGTGGTTTTGTTCGGGTGGCCAGCGTGCTGGGCCGAAGCCCCAGGGGAGTTCTTCAGAGAAGAACCAAATACCACCAGTCGTCTGGCACCCCGTGTACGCATGTGGCAAGCCAACAGGGGGCAGCAGATCTCCCGCCACCGTGCCAAGGTCGCTGACCAAATGTGTCTTGGAAACATATTCGGGGCCGGCTGGCGGCATCTTGGGTTTTTTGGGGGAGGCCTCTTGGAAGCCTCTTGAAGCTTCCTAGGTCTTGGGGGCCTCCTGGGAGCATCCTGGGTGCCCTCTTGGGTGCCCATTGGAGTGCCGCTGGCGGTCTCGGGGCTCATCCTGTGGGGGGAGGCTTCCGCATGTTGGCCCGCGTTCCCCCTCATGGGCCGCTCTTGTGGCCATCTTGGGTGCCCCTTGGGCCCCACTGGGAGGCTTGGGCGCCGTCCTGGGGTGATCTGGTGCGCCGTCCTGCAGGCCGCCTTGACGCTCCTGAGACAGGAACGGCGAGACTGCCTTGCCTTACAGCGCAAAAGCCTGAGGCTTTCAATCAGCTCGGCCGCTTGAACCGATGCCCAGTGGTTCCAAGATGTCCCAAGGCAGGCAGGCCCGCAAGAGGGCTCAAGCGCGGACCCTTGGGGCCATCTTATAGGTAACGTTGGAGGTTTGGACCCCCAGCCACGGTTCCGAGGCCTTCCTGGAGAAGTCACTGGGCTCGGAAGCGCCCAGCAGCGATCCCTAGAGCCACCGCCCAAGAGCGCCCAGAGACCGGGTGGGCGTGTGGGGCCGGGACAGTACTCCCTACAATATCCCATGTTGGCGAGCTCGGAGGGGGCCTGAGGAGTCACTGCGTCCAGTGCCCCTCGCGGCACGCTGGCGGATTACGAGGCGATACTGAGGCAGCCGTCGCTGATGCTGCCGGTGATGTACACGCCCACGGTCGGGGAGGTGTGCCAGAAGTACGGGATGCTGCCCTTCAGCGGGCGCGGCTGCTACCTGTCCGTCGCCGACCGCGGGCGCGCCAGGGAGGTCCTGGAGGAGTACGCGCGGGCAGAGCTGGAGAGGGACGCCGAGGGGAGGCCGGTCTGCGACTGCATCGTGTTCTCCGACGGGGGCCGGATCCTGGGCCTGGGCGACCTGGGCGCCTGGGGCATGGGCATCCCCGTGGGCAAGCTGGACCTCTACACCGTCTGCGGCGGCGTGAGCCCCCACCGCGTCATCCCGCTCATCATCGACGCGGGGTGCGGGGACGCCTCCAAGAACACGGACAGGCTGGAGGTCCGCGAGCACCCGCTGTACACCGGCCTGAGGCAGGACCGCGCCATGCAGAGGTCCGCGGCGGGCACGATGGTCAACTCCTGCTACTACGGGCAGGGCAGCATCATCCGGGAGCTCTTCGAGGCGGCCACCGACCTCTTCGGAGACACCTGCCTGCTGCAGTTCGAGGACTTCAACTCCAACGACGCCTTCCCGCTCCTCGCCGAGTACCGGGAGAAGTACCTGACCTACAACGACGACATCCAGGGCACCGCGGCGGTGGCCGTCGCCGGCATCATGGGGGCCATCCGGCTCAGGAGCCCCGGCTGCGCTGACCTCATCGGTGCTCTGAAGGAGGAGACGTTCCTCTTCTTCGGCGCGGGGTCCGCCAACATCGGCGCCGCGAACCTGCTGCTCCAGGAGGGCGGGGTCGAGAAGCACCGAGTGCTGATCTGCGGCTCCAGGGGCCTCATCTGGGCGTCCGAGGACGGGTCCCAGGGCGTGTTCAAGAACGACGAGCAGAAGGCCTTGGCATACAGGGGGGCGCCCCCGTTCCCATGCGAGAGCCTCGTGGACGTGATCCGGAGCGTGAAGCCCACAGTCCTGGTGGGTGCCGTCGGTGTCTCCCCGAACTGCTTCACCAAGGAGGTCGTCGATGGGATGATGCAGAGCGTCGGGGACGGGGGGCGCCCCATCATCTTCGCCCTCTCGAACCCGAAGTCCCAGGCAGAGATCACGGCGGAGAACTGCTACCGCTGGTCGGGCGGGGCCGCCATCTTCGGTTCCGGCACCCACTTCGATCCCGTCGAGGTTGGGGGGAAGAGGCATTCGCCGGGCCAGGTCAACAACGTGTACATCTTCCCTGGCATGTCCTTCGGCGCCATCTGCTGCCAAGCCAAGAGCATCCCCGAGAGGCTCTTCCTGGTGGCCGCAGAGGCGGTGGCGAACAGCCTGAGCCGGGAGGACCTCGACGAGGGCCGAGTGATCCCGCACAGGGACCAGGTGCAGCGCGTGAGCCTCCGCGTCGCCGCCGCGGTGGTGCTGGAGGCGCAGCGCCTGTCCCTGGCGCGTCGGAGGCTCGGCACGGACGCGGGTGCCGTGGAGGCCGCGCTGGAGGAGAGGATGTGGAGGCCGGGTGGCCGCTCGCCAGGGGCCCATGAAGCCGCCGCCGAGCCCCCCGCAGAGCCTGCGCTGCCCCGGGCCGGTGGCGTCAGCGCCCACCGCCCCCTCTCCTGGCCGAGGGAGGTGGCGAAGGCCGGTGGCCCCGCCGCCTGGAACCAGCGGCCGGAGCTGGCACCGCTGGCGGCCATGCTCGACGGCATGGCGGACGTCCGGACGGCGGACGACGCGCTCTCGAAGGTGAGGCCTCTGATTCAGCTGGGCCACCACCTCTGGGCGCACATGTGGATGAAGGCGCTGCACGTCAGGAACCTGAACATCTATCGAAGACGCCTACGGCGCACCACCGTCGCCCCCTGCCTTGAGGTAGTGCCTGTGTGTTCAAAAGTTGGGACACGGCTTGGCCAAGCTATGTGAGTTCCCCCAGTCGTTGTGGAAATCCTTGGGGCAGGAAGATGGGGAGTGCAGGAAAGTGATGATGATGAGGAGGAGGAGGAGGAGAAGGAGGAGAGGAGGAGGGGGAGGAGGAGGAGGAGGAGGAGGAGGAGGACGACGACGACGACGAGGTTAAGTAGGAGGCCTCCTGGCGGCCATTTGGAGCCTCCTAGTGGCCCCAGGGGAGCCTCTGGTGGGCTCTTGTGGCCATCTGGGACCGTCTTGGAGCCATCTTGGATAGTCTCGTGGCCATCTTGGCCGTCGTGGAAAGCTTTTTGGATTTCGGTCCGTGTTGGAGCCAATACTCTCACGTTCTTGTTATATGTTTCTGAGTTTGTTATGTGGAGCAATTGTTTTTGACGCCACCGCCAAATGAAACAACTTCGCTGGCGAGCGATTATTGTGCCAGCCCGTTGCCAAATCTAGATAGCACACCGAAGGCATTCAGTTCTCCACCAAAGGCGCCGTCGCCAACACAAATATACCCGATCTCTATATTTCGCATCCATTGCATCTTCAGGCGGCACCGCCGCCAAATATTGGTTCACGGTAGTGGAGAACCTGACATTATAAGATCAGCCCGGCTGACTTGGAGGCCATCTTGATTGTTTTGGAGGCCATATTGAGCCATCTCATTGTACCATCTCAGGAGTCTTGAGGGCCATCTTGTTCCATCTTGGGCCAGTATTGGGCGCCTTTTGAGCCGCGTGAGATTGTCGGAGACCCGAAAATGGCGAGAGCTCAGATTTTTTGGCACAACAGCATGCGAATACATGACTTTTGACATGATGAGGGCCTCCCAGAGGTCCTCTTTGAGCCCCTTGGAGCGTCTCAGGGGACTTTTGGCCGCCTTGAGGCCATATTGGGTCCAGTTTGGGCTGTATATTGGAGGCACAATTGGGCCATATTGGGCTCTCTTTGGGCCGTCTTGGAGACGTCTTCGGATCTGCTTGGAGGAAATCTTGGGCCATATTGGCAGTCTTGGAGGCCATCTAGGACTGTGTTGGGGTCGTCTTGGGGCAACACTGGACGCTTTGCTGGGTCGGGTGAGGCTGTCGGAGACCCGATTTGGTGATAACATTCTGGCTTTGGATAACAACACAAGGAACATCTATTACTCAAGACGCTTCGCGTTCACCGCCCGCCTATTCCAGTTCTCGCCAGAAGAGGAAGACCACGCCAAGACGGGATGGCAGTATTCCGACACTTGTAAAAAGACGCCCCACGGGCCCGAGAGGCGCCCTCACGGGCCGAAGAAGGCCCTGAAAAGGGCCCAAACATGGGCCCAAGAAAGGCCCCAGGCTGCCAGGGCGGGCCCCTGGACGGCTCAAGCGCGAGATCCCCCTGGTGGGCCCGAGCCCCGTTCGCATTGGCATCGAACCCAGGCCCGGATCTGGGCCCTTTTTGGCTCCGTTCTTGGGGCCTCAGTTGGGCCCAGAATCGGTCAATCTTGATATCGAAATCGGCCAACATCGTCGACGAAATAATAATTATGTTTGACATGGCCCAGGCGAGGCTGATTGTGTCCGGGCGACCCCTGGCGAGGCGAAACTCAGGAAACACCTCTGGGTTTTGCTTTGTTCTTGAAGTTCCCAGTTTGAACGCTCAGTTGGGCCCCAGAGGCGCTTTGGAGGGCCCCAGGAGCTGGCTGTGGAGGCCTATGGGCCTCGAAGGGACAGAAATGGACCCAAAATGTGCTCCGAAAGCGTCGACAGAAGGATTTGAAAATCGAGCTCGTTCTGGAAGCCGTCTTGAGGCTCGAAAAGGGTCGACTGCGCAGCCGGGCGGCGGAATGGCGGTGGCTTCTGGGGAAGAGGGGGGGGGCTAAAGCCTTGTACGGAGCTCCCACGCTTAAATCCCACACGACCCTGAGCCCGGTGGGTGGGCGGATGACGGGAAGCGCGCTAAGACTCGAAGAGTCGCGCGATGGGCGTTGGTGCAGACCCGGGGGGAAACATTTTTCAATTGGGGAGTTGCAGGAAGGGAAGGGTGCGGGGTATTTCCTTTACTGGCGCCTAGTGAATTCCCCAGACTAGGCGTTTCGCCTGAGACATCTTCGCAAGTATGGAATGTTCAACGAGCTGCTCTAAGACGTCTTATGCTAAAAACGAGGCATCCTTGGAAAATGGGTGTGCCGAAATCGCTGGCCTAATTTCTGGGAGTTCAAACTTGGACGTTTCGCCTGAGACATCCTCGGAACAATGGTATGCGCCAAGACCTGTCTTGAGGCATATTTTCGGAGCGATCGTGGATGGCCTCCAGAATGGCCAATTTTGCAGGACGGGTGACATACGCGGGACCGTATCCACTTGGCACGCGACATATACAGGATAGATATCACCAGGATACATGTTGGTTTATTGCAATTCCCACATCTCGATTCCAACTGACTTGCGTAAACGATATTTGTGTGTGCCTGGGGTATAACCGAAACGTAAACCGAACGCATCCTTATCTTGAACGTAATTCGAACGTACTTCGAACATAAAACCAACGTCGCTCGAACAACGCATCAAGCCCATTCAGAAGCCCTGCCCATGAGAGCTGACGGGAAAAGGGACGAAGAGACACAACTAGGGAAACAAAGCGAGCAACCATGGTGAACCGAGAGATCTTTGGGAGCAAGGGGGTGGCCTTGGAAGGCCTCTTCGGGCCCCACTTCGGGCCATCCCTGGGGGCCGCGTGGGGGCGAGGGGAAGAGGAGGAGGAGGAGGACGAGGAAGAGGAGGAGGATGAGAGCGAGGAGGACGAGGAGGACGAGAACGCGGATGAGAACGAGGACAAGGAGGACGAGGACTAGGATGAGGACGACGCGGACGAGGACTCATGGAACCATGTAGAGGTATTCTTGCGGCTGCTGCTGCTGCTGGTGCTCTCTGGGAGTTTAGGGGGCCCTCTTGGAACCCTCTTAGGATCGTCTTGGAGGCCATCGATTACAGGATGGTAGGGTCCCCAACTCAGCTCCCCCCTCAGGAGCCCGCAAACCGCTTCTTGGGGCTCTCTGGGAGCGCTCTTGGGCGCTCTTGGAGCGGTCTTGGAGCAGTTTGGAGCATCTTGGGAGCTATCTTGAGCCAGCTTGGGCTATCCGAGCCATCTTGGAGGTCATCTTGGGCTCTCTGAGGCCGCTCGGGGGCCTCTTGGGGCCCTCTTGGGACCCTCTTGGGGCTCTCTTGGGCCATCGATCAAAAGGGGGGGTGGTCCCTTATCTAGCTCCCCCCTAAGAGCCATCGAAGTCGCCTCTTGGGGCGATCTTGGGCGGTCTTGGGGCCGTCTTGGGGGTCTCTGCTCTCTTGGGTCTTCTTGGGGCCATTTTGAGGCCTCAAAAGCGCATCGGAAGCGAAAAGGCGAGAAGGCCCAAGTCATTGATGCGCCTTAGGTTGTTCAAGGATTTCGGCTTCTCGGGGGGTTCCTGACGGGTCTGCAAAAGCACTTGGATCCGTCTTGTGGCGCTCTTGGGGCCTCTTGGAGGCATGTTGTTAGCTACATTGAGCCATGTTGGGCTATCTTGAGCGATCTTGGAGGCCATCTTGGAGCATCGGAGGCCCTCTTGGAGCCATCTTGGGCCATCTTGGGCGCTCCACCCCCTCGCGGACCCCCCGTCCAGGTCCAGGGGAGGGGGTCGGGGGAGGGGTAAACCGTTTCCCGAAGGGGAAGAGGGGATTTTGGAAGAGGAAATAAAGACATCGTTAGACCACCTGCGCCCAAAGGGCTGGTGGGATATCACGTGCAGCGTTCTCGCATTATTTCCCTCTTCCCTCCACCCCATCCCTTCCTCCTCCGCCTGCTCCGCTCATCCCCCCTTCACCCCTTTCTTCCCTTCGCCCCTCCACTCCATCCCCCGCTTCTCCGCCCACGTCTCCCTCCCCCCTTCTGCCCCCTGGCCATGCCACCTCTGCCGCCGCAACGCAGGGCGAGCTCCGGAGGGGGGGTCGCGCAGACGCCGAGCAGGGCACTGCAACTGGGCGAAGGCTGGGTGACACGTTGGTCTAAACATCTGGGGGGCGCCGCACGGATGTCGGATGCTGGACATATGCCGGACATATGCCGGACAGACGTTGGACAGATGCACCGTTTGTCCGGCATCTGTCCGGCGTATATTTGGCATAAATGTCCGGCACCGCGCGCCCAGAGGGGCTGGGTCGGGGTTGGGTTCAGGTCGGGCGGCGCCGGGTCGTCGGGGCGGGGGTGGCCCGGGGCAGGCGGGTCGGGGTTGAGGAAGAGGAGGAGGAGGAGGAGGAAGAGGAGGAGGAGGAGGAGGAGGAGGAATGGGAATGGGAATGGGATTGGGAAAGAGGCAGCGAAGCGAGGAGTTGGAGGTACAGTCAACCCGTGCCATAAGACGTAAGGATGCGAGGGCCTTGGTAGGCCGTTACGAGTCTTTTCGAGCGGGGCGCGGCCAACGAAAGTGGCCAAGGATGGACCGAAGATGCAAGGATGAAAGGGTACCCTTGGGAAGACTGCCCATCCTTATGCGGGTTGTGACTGTAGGGATACCGCTCCATCAAGAGGAACATGCAGGGTTCTGCAACCCGAGCCGTAATCCAAATTAACCTGAACGTAACCTTAACGTAGCTCGGACGTAACCCGAATGTAACTTGAACGTTGTCTGAACGTAAACCTGTTATCTGATTTCAAGACTTTCCACCATTCTCGCAAACACAATCGATCTTGACTGTAACAGGGTTTGGCCAAGCTCACTCCAAACCTGACAGTCGACATGCACATAATTACCTTTCGAGCCAGGGATCGAAATGCTAAAGCATCATCAAGCTTGCTATGTAGTTACAGTTGGGAGAGGGCTTTCTTCATTAGTTGTCGGGGGTTATATAGGCGCTTGTTCGAGTTGGCATACCACGTGCTAACGCTGGCAACAACAGGGTCTTGAAAAGCAAGAAGCGACATGATTGAACAATAGTGCTTTAACACTTTCGTTTAACAAGTGAGCATGCCGCTCGAGACGTCCCCTTCAAAATGCCTTCGGACGGCTCCGCGAAACCATCAGTTCATGATGGGGATGCCCGTGATGACGATCACGATCACGATGAAGATGACGACGACCACGACGACGACGATGATGATGATGGTGGTGGTGGTAATGTTGTTGCTGATGATGATGCTGATGCTGATGCTGATGATGATGATGATGATGATGATGATGATGGTGGCGATGGTGATGATGATGATGATGCTGCTGCTGCTGCTGCTGCTGATGATTTTTTTCCTCGACGTCAGGACCAATATCTGATATCAAAATATGGTATACACTGAAACCAGACTTGAGAGATCCGTCGCAGAGAGCCGACTGTCTCGTGTTGCCCCGCTTGGGCCGGACTGCCAGGGTGCTGCTCGGAGGGGCCTCCTGCGCAGCGCGTGCCTAGCAGCGTCGAAATGCTGGCTGAATAATATTGGCCGCTTCGTCTTCGGCATTGAACTCGGGTGGGGTGGGGCCTCCACCTCACGCAGCTCCTCTGCATGTGCTGGCACGGCAGGGGGGGGGGGGAGGCACGACGGAGGAGGGCGGGATGTGACCGTGACCGTGCTGCTACTGGCAGGGAGGCTTTAGCCTCGAACAAAAATTGACACGGCGTGGACTCGCCTCCTCTGCGCTGTGGCCTGCGCTGTTGCGTGCAGGCTCGCTCTGGCAGAAAGACAGGCTCGCTCTGGCAAAAAGGCGGGTTCACTGCTCGAGCGTCTCTAGCCAGTGGCCTACCTCCTCCTCGGGCCAGCCCACTGGGGCCACGCCTCGGTGGTGGACCGCCTGGCCCTCCCACATGGGCGCACCGATCACCAGCTTCTGCTTGGTGTCATCGTAGCGGTGCCCGAGCCCTTCGAGAACTGGGAGGGGCCCAGTGGGAGTCGCCACGTCGCTCTCCGCTTGGGCGTCGTCCCCCTGTCCAGGGAGAGTAGGCGTAGAGGAAACATTAGCCACTCGGATCGCCCGCGTGGGCGCTACATATACTGCTGCTGGGCGCTGTGCTGCTTGTAGCCGTCGAAGTGGTCGATGTTTAGGTCTGCTGCGTAGGTCGCTGCCCGCGATGTGTGTCCACCGACTGGCAGTTGGACGCGCTTACCTCAGGGGTGTCCTCGATGGCGGGCGAGGGGCGGCATCTGGATGGCGCAGGGCGCGGCGGGGGAGCACTTGGAGTGGCCGAGCGCGTGGTAATCCGTTTCTGGCACGACCCGATGTTGCACTCGAAGGTGGGGTTTGTCTCGTCGTCGGTGTCCGTCCCGTCGTGCGTTGTCGCCGAGAGGAGGGAAGAGGTGCTCACGCTGGCCTCGGGGGGAGCCCACTGACCCATCTTGACAACTCGGAGGGCCTCCTTGTCTTTGCTAATCTCGGCGTAGGCGTCGTTGAGATAAGACGCACGGTGGGCGCCCGTCTGGAGCCCAGCAGCAAGTAGGCCATAGTCCCAGCGGATGTTGTTGTTCGTGATGTTGGAGCCGCTGACAGGCATCTTGATCTGCATAATCATGGGGATGTGGTCGGCAACATGTAGTAGGCTACTTAGCGTGGTGTGGATCTTTCCAATTCAGCTTCACGTGCTTCACGATTTCCATGAAGTTGTCGTGGCCGATGAAGTAGTTGATGCTTGATCTGGCTTTGTTGTGCCCGTAGTAGGTATGGCCGACGTCGATGTGCATGTTGATGGTTGTCAGCTGGTGCGTCAGGAACTTGTCGTGAATCAAGCGTCCGAGCTCAGTCTCGTCGCTGGGTTGGTAGCTGCCGATTGCGTTGTCGGTGCGGCGCTGTCGTGATCGTCGTCCTGGCCCTTGGTTGAGGTCCGTGAACAGGATGGGCATGACGCGAATAGGGATGTCGGTATGTGCCTGCGGTACCCAGCTCCATGGTCGGCGGCATCCTGCTTTCCAGTGTTGGTAATGACCTGCTCCGTTCGGCCGCGGTGGGGAATACGCAGCAGTGAGTCGAGAGCGGAGCTGGCCTCGATGAAGCTCGACGGCGCCCGCGCCCCGTAGGTCAGATTGTGGGGGGTGCCGTACCTTGTCGATATCTATCTTGCGGCTTTGGCGCTTGGATACTGCGATGCTGCGGCTTACTGAGCTGCTCGTGTGTGCCCCGCGACCCCATCCGAAATGGACCCATGTATGATAGCGGCGGTCCTCGAAATGATGCGGGGCGTCGGTAGTGCACTGGCGGATCTTAATGCCTGCGTGCATCATAGTCTGATTTGCACGGCATGTGTCGGAGATGTGGTCGAGATGCCCTGGGACATCCAGTAGTCCTTCGCGAGCTGGGTGTGGATGTAGTGGTCCAGGTGGCAGGTCACGTTCGGCGTGCAATTGTTCCACTGGTAGTAATTCAGGAGCCGCGTGGTGTGATCCTGCATGTGCTGGCCCTCTGTGTTCTGCCTCGATGTCCTCGGTCTCCGCTCGGTGCAGGTGGTTCCGAATGGCACCCTCCATGGAGCCGCCCACGTCACACTTGTACAGTCCTTCCAAGATCGCCAGCGCGAAGGGGGGCGCTGGCGACCCTATCTCCTGCACGCGTTTCTTGTCCTCTGGGGTGTCGCTCTTCCTGAAGGGGGAGTCCAGGGTGTACTTGTAGCCTTCGATCTCCTGCGTGATGGCTATGATCCCTGGGAGCTCTTTCCTCATCGTGTAGGTGTCCGTATTGTTGCTGCCATTCAGCCTGGTCTTGTGCGTCGTCTGAAGCAGCATGTGGCAAGTCACGTTCAGCGTGCAATCGTTCCACTGGTGGCAATTCAGGGGCCGCGTGGTGTAGTTCTGCATGTGTTGGCCCTCTGTGTTCGTGAGGATATTGAAATTGAAGCTCAGCGTCCAGTAGTTCGGGGTCAGCGTGTCGTAGTCCTGCCTGTGCTGGCCCTCTGTGTTCGTGTAGATGTTGAACTTGAAGCTCAGCGTCCAGTCCTGCACGTACTGGCCCTCTGTGTTCGTGAGGATGTTGAATTTGAAGTTCAGCGTCCAGTCGTTCAGGGTCAGCGTGTTGTAATCCTGCATGTGCTGGCCCTCTATGTTCGTGATGATGTTGGAGCTGATTTTCAGTGTCCAGTAGTCCTTCGCAATCTGGGTGGGGTAGTCCATGTGGCCAGTCACGTTCAGCGTGCAATTGTTCCACTTGTGGCAATTCGTGGGCCGCGTGGTGTGCCTGTGCTGGCCCTCTGTGTTCGTGATGATGTTGAAGTTGAAGCTCAGCTTCCAGTAGTTCAGGGTCAGCGTAGCGAGTCCTGTGCTCAGCAGGTGCGCGGCGCCCGCGCTCCGGAGCACGGCCATGGCGGCCTGGCGGTGTGCGGGGTGTCGTCAAGCGGCCCCCTGCCTTTTGGGCATGGCAAGGGGGCGGTGACTGGAGGCCGCTGCTCCATCAATGGCCTGAGCGCGCGGCGGCCTTTGCTGCTGATGATGATGATGATGATGATGATGATGATGATGATGATGATGATGATGATGATGATGATGATGATGATGGTAGTGGTGGTGATTATGCCGATGCCGCTTATGTTGCGACGCCCATCGTTATGATGATGTGTTCCACAGAAAGGCCATTTCGCTTGAGACATCCTCACACAATGGGGATGATGGGTTGTGTCTTGTAAGACGCCTCATGTGAAACATGCATCTCTCGCTGCAGACATCCTCAACCAATGGAGATCTTGAAATCGCTCGCGAAACGCTCCGAGATTCGAACATGGAGCTCCGACGTTCTTTTGGGAGCTCTCATCGAGGACGCCCCGGGCGGCTCAATAATCAGAAGCATTGATAACCCATGGGTCGCTCAATGCTGTTCTTCAGAGGAAAGCGCTTCGCTCGGGACATCCTTAACAAAGACATCTGCAACGGCAAACTGATGTTGTTTTTTGAACTTGCGCGGGTAGTGAACTGCCCCTGGTGTTTGCGAAAGGTGCAGGCGACGAGAGCTATGAGGCGGAGGCAAGGGCGCGGAAGTGGAGGAGTACGAGCGGCAGCAGGAGGATCAGGAGCAGTATCAATGTCAGTTCCGCGTAAGTTCAGCGTAC